AAAATTTGTAAATGAAGGACGTAGTTAACCTGTAACAGGCCTTAAGGTAGTTGGGAAAACGCAAAGAAAAGTGGGTTAGAAAAATGGCGAAGGAGCAGGGGTTAGGGAGAGAGGGCGAAAGGTCCTCCTACTCTCTCTCTTACTCTCTTCCACGTTTGTTTTCCTCCGTTCCCCATTTCGCGCCACTGTCCACTATCCACTATCCACTATCCAATGTCCACTGTCCACTACGCCTGGAATAGGCTAGTTCATAGTGGGCCAGAGAGTTTTTTTCCAATGGCGATGCAAGGGATTTATAGATGTCCATTTAGGAGCATTTGCCATTTTTAAAAGCTCATGATCACACTGCAACTATCCCTGCTTTAGCATTAGTAAAACGACACTTTTTTTTCTATTTTTCGTTTTGCTGCAGAGGAAAGTTTTTGGGGATTTGTTTTTGATGATGGTGTTTTATCGTCGATCGAAACGAGTTAAAATGTTTTCTGAAACGTTCGTTACAATGTAACTTTATAAGCGTGATAGTAATACATCGAAACGTGCATTTATACTTATACATAATTACTTGAAAGAGAAAACTCGCAAGAAAAAAAAAAGAGTTCTAATTAGTTAATATTGGTTATCCCTGTCTTAAATTTAACGTATTTATGCCTTTTGACGCATGCTTAAGTTAATAAAACACACCACTGTACTTGTTCAAAGTTTGTTTTCGTTGGGCTCGGTCGTCGACGTCTTGCCGACGTCGCTCAAAAACGCCGACTTTTGGGCAATTCTACACTATATATTGTATCCAAACAAAATGACTCTTCTAAATAAGATAAGTGTATTGAAAGATGTAATATAGATTGTATGCTGGAATTTGGCATGTGATCAGCGTTGAATAGAATGTTGAAAGTGAATCTGTCGTTAACACCGCTGGCGTGACGGGCCGTGTCACGCTATTTTTAACCACTGGAATGTCGCAATTTTTCGCAAAATTAGGGTTGAAATCGGCGTCTTGCGGGCTACTTAAAATCGTTTGCCCAGAGATTTGTTTCGATTTTCTGATAGATTGGGGCCTAGTCAAGCCGTAGAAAGTCAATTTGCGAAATTCTAAGTTATAGCGCATTGTAAAAATTTACATTACTTTAACCCTATAATTTTGAACGGTAGAAATTGTCAATAGAGCCTATTTTTAACAATACCTTTTTGGCCACAAACTTATTACAGCTTTCACAAATTTATCGTCTTAGAAGAAAGAAAGGGTCATAAAAATTATTCGTGATCTACAAAGGCTGCCAAATCGTTGTGGTTTGACGTACGAGTCAATTGAATTTGTGTAAAATTTCTTTACCGGAAGTGGATTTTGAGCTCCAAACGGGCAAAATGCGTTTTCTCGAATTTTAGCAAAAGAATACGTTATTTGGGAAAACTAACTACAGCATGTTTCATTACTCATTAAGGGTTATCGATGAGCCAAAAATGAGCGAAATTCGAATTTTGAACTTGTGCCACAAAAAGTCGATTTTGGTCGATATTTACAGACAGTCGCTCTTAATAACTATTTTTTTTTTTTTTTTGGAAATAATATATTGAAAAAGGGGTTGTGAATTAAATAGGTTAGGAATACGATTACGAAAAACCCCCCCCCCCCCCCCCACCCTCATGAGCCGAGAAACCTTTAAACGAATGTATTGCTTTTGCCTATTTCTATGAATTATAAATTAGGAATTTACGTCTTCTTTTTCAGGTGCAGCTTCGTGGAGAAATCCTAAGACAGTCATGAGAATTGAAAGATTTAAGGGATGTCGATGTCTTGGATCCACACAATTCGAGAATCAGAAGCGCAACCTGTTAACGGAGCTGAATGGGCTCTAGTAAACAGGCATAATCCTGTGTTTCATTACACTGTTTTGTTATACTGTGAAATCAATAACTCTGACAACGATTACTAATATTAAAACCAAATTTATGTTGGGAAAGTTAAAAACACAGAAGAGAACACTCTTTTGTTTTTGTGGGCATAATAATTATGAATAATAAAAATCGAGAAATTGCGTGAAAAAAGTCAGCTTTTATTTCTTGGTCTAACACATAGTTAAATGTCAATCGTTCACAGCCTGGCCTAAATCTTGCCACTTTGATCAGGGAGGGTTAATATACATAGTGGCTTGTCGCCGCCGGTGGGCCACTGAGAGAAGAGGACGGGACCCGCTTAATGATAAGTACAAATTAAGCACGGCAGACCTAAAACATAGGTACTAGTGGGCTAACAGGTGAGTTTATGGGCTGGTTGACTAATTACGTCCCTGTCGAGTGCATGTTAGTTTACAGATATTCTGAGTGTCGAATGTAGTGTCGCACTTCCTCGTCGAAAACGCTTAAAAATCCTTCCATGGCCATGTTTTCGGGTTGATCACACATTCGCCATTCTTGATCATTTCCTCTGATCCGCCCCTTCACTTGCGAAATTATTCCCTCACACGGCATGAAGTCGGGGCTGTATGGAGGGAGGTAGACGAGTAGAGCACCTGTGGCGTTTATTGCCCTCACAACTTCGGCAGTATGGTGAATCGCAGAATTATCTGTTTTCAAAATAATAACAGAAAGGATAAGGTTAATAACTCAACACTTGCTTCCAATGCATCTGCGCCTGGCCGATTTCCTTCTATCCAAATTACAGCTAACGCCTGTTTAACGTTCATTCTTCACTTGTTATTGGCCAGGGTACTGAAGTTGGTATCTCTGTAATGATTCTTAAGGTGACTGGCTTCTTTTGTGAGATAATAGTCACTATATAAAAGTATAAAGAATAGTAAGCTATCAGTCTGGTTAATAGAGCCTATACATCTTTTTCCAAAGACCAATGAACTTACCCATTACAACGATCGAGGGCGGATTGATCCCGTTAAAAGGATTGACATTAGGGGCCAAGTGGTCATGAACAAAATCCAAGAAGACATCACTGTTAACATTTCCGCGATAGATCCCTACATCCAGGAGGCCTTCTCTTGAAGCGATGGGAATGGCTGAAATGCGTGGACCCCAATTAGCATCAGGCCGCACTACCTCCACCCGCATTCCGCGAAAACTTCGGCCGTAGTTTCTGTTGATCCGCTTGTCCTATGAATAACCAAAAGAACCCAAACATGCCTTATTCATTACCGTTACGCACTGGAAATTAAGCGGCGAATTCTCAGTTTCGTTATCTTACAAAAATGCAAGTCAAATGGACCTTTTCGACTTCTATGTTTTATTTTCTCAATGCAGACCAAGAGATGCTCTCAAAAGAATTGGCATTTTGTCTTCTCATACATTATGCTTTCAGTTGTTGAACACACGCAGATAGGATGATACAAGGTTAATGTGGCCCGCCGCTACAATGAGCGAAGTATAAAACCACAACAACAACAGGAATTCAGTTAAGCCCAGTGACTTGTATTCGAGAACGGGAAAAGCAAGTGAAACAAAAACTCACTGCACTTTGCACATTGAGCTAAATAACTTACGAATTTCCTGAGTAGAGAGAAAGTGGTACAAAAAAAATCTTCCACGTTTGCTGAGGCAGATGTTGAGGCAACAATTTCTTTAGCGTCAAATTGGCCAATTGGGGGACAAAAGCCAGCTATATCATTAAAACAGTTTATTCTAAGTATTTGTGGGATTTCCTTGGCTGGTGATCAACACTTCCAAAAAGAAAAATAAATTTTAACGCGATATGACTGTACATGTAAGTCAGTCGCGTGCCAACTTACAAATCCACTCTCGTCCAAAAACACTAGCATATCAGCGTCAAACAAACAAATATTTGCCCAGTACATTTGCCGACGTTCTTCATTTCTCTGCAACCCAATCTGTCGAACCTATAAATTCGACAAATCGTTAGGCTAATATAAGGCATATTAAACCACGCAAGCGGAAGGCAAATATTAAGATCATGAAACATCGGTTACCTTTTTGCGTGTTATTCCATTGTGTTGAAACTAATAATGAAGACAGGAAAGGGCGAATTCGGAGCCTGTGCCTCTGTAAATTTGATTAAAAATCTCATTTAAGGACACTGTTGCATTTTCCAGTACTGCCTCCATAATGATATCCAAGAGGTCTTCCCATCTTCTTTGCTTTCACATCACCCGAAACAAAATAACCATGCAAGTAGCGCCTAAGAGTCCATTTGGATATCCTAAGATGGAAACAGGTCTCAAAAATGCCTGATCCAAATCGCCTTCCAACGGAGGTCTTCAGAGTATGGCGCTGGCATGTTACAAACTGCGTTTACTCCTGTAATGCACCGCGGGCTATGAAACATGGATCATGCATCATGAATCATTCTTTGCCGACGCAACCTTAATTGAAATAAGTGTATACAAAAGTTACTGTTTTTTCATGTATACGCGTAAAGATAATTTAAATTGGAATGTTCGACAACTTTTGTAATCGTGATTTTCCTACTTTATTCTGGTTTGTTTTACAATTTTGTATTTTTTCCTTTGCTTGTAAATGTGCAATAAAGTGTTGTCGAGGATAAAAAAAGTGTCGGAGACGATGAAGAGACATTCAGGCGAAAACGATCAGGAAAAAGTTAAGAAAAGAGAACGGAGATGTGGCATCGAGACCATGTTGTTCCTGTCCAAAACAGGGAGAAAAGGCCAGCAACTTAAACTTGAGGAAACCCAGCTGAAAAAAGAGCAACACGATTTGGATGCAAAACGTCTATAGGCGAGCATTGATCAGCAACGCCAGTTTCAGCAACAACAAATTGAAATGATGCGGCCAATACAAGAACAACAACAGCAGCAGCAGCAGGAACTCTTGGCATCACAGCAACTGACGTTGAGGGAGCAACAGACCAAACTAAAGCACTGATGGGTTTATTTTTCAAATATTCAAAAATTCACCAGTATTACTGGTATAACTGTCGTTTGTTTTTAACTGTGCAATTACTCAGCCTTAGGTACCGCTGGACACCGAAGTACCTTCCATCTACACGTCCTTGAGGCAACAGATTCGATGTTGATCATGCAATGTCGTATATGAAAGGCGGATTTGTCCATAGGAGGCATGACGACGTGCGAGACCCGTTCGCATCCCTTCTCAAGGACGTATGTCATGATGAGGTCAAGCCACACCTTCAGCCTTTGACAGGAGAAGTTTTAATCAGCAGTGCGAACTCCTATGACAAGGCTTGTTTGGATGTCAGCGGGCGCGGTTTTTGGCAAAGGGGGCAACGTGCATTTTTTGATGTCAGGGTTTTTAACCCGTTTGCAAAGAGACACCTTAACCAGAAAGTTGACAGGGCTTTCTCGAGCAATGAGAACGAGAATAAGCGACACTACAACCAGCGAATTATTGAAGTCGAGCATGGCTCCTTCAGCCCTCTCGTGTTCTCACCATATGGTGGAAACGGTAGAGAAGCCGAGCGATTTCTTACAGAACTAGCTCAAAAACTATCCGATAAGAAGCATGATGGATTCTAGCATCGTGATTCATTGGTTGAGAGGAAAACTATGTTTTATCCTATTGAGATCAGCAGTTTTGTGTGTAAGAGGCTCCAGAACAATTAAACATGAGTTGAACACCGATTTTAGCGGGGCAGAAATCGCAAATGTGATTGGAAACATAAAGTGGACACGTTTCAAGCATTATTTTGAACATTTTCCCTCTTTTTTTTAACCCAAGCCTAAGGCTTTTTATTTTGGATACATGTTTATCAATGATTTTTATCTTATGCTTGTATACTGTAATCTTTTATTGTATGTTTTTTTTAAAATAAAGTTTTATTTATATTACAAACCAGTTTGCATTTTTTATTTACTTTTGTCTTTTTTTCACCGATCAATGTTTGTATTAGCGGCACAGCATTTTTCTTGTGCCGAGGAGCCCGCCTCTGGTTATTTTCTTTAATTACTGTCATCTTATTGGATGGCAGGCTCGTTTCGGTAAAATTACCTTTTATATTTTTGACATACTAGAAAATATTTTCTGGCTAGAATAGATGAAGAATTTCTTTGAAAATTTATATTCTGTTGCGTAAACTGCAATAAAATTCTGTATTTTCAGTCTGCTATAAAAGCAACTGGTGATACTCTACGTATTCGAAAACAAAACATAAAAAACTCCCTACGATAAAAAGGCTCGGGAATCTATGGGAGGCAGTATGTTGAGGGGCTGATGAGGCAAACCTTTTCCGATGAAAAACTGTAGGCGAAATATTTATCTCACATTTCTAATTTTAAATTCTCTCTTGTGGGGTTAACAGTACTATTCACTAAAATCAATTTAATTATTAAGATACAATCAAGTCGTATTGAAAAAATTCAGTGCCCTCTAATTCATAGTTTCTTGCTGCAATTTATTTATTACAAAGTAGTAGGGCCTCCGTTTTTTCGTAGTTGATTTTCAAGCCGGAGTATGCAACCAAATAAATGGATAACATTGATTAGAGTTAAATGAGACGGCTTATCGCGAACAAATGTTGTCATGTCGTCGGCAAATGTAACTAATTTAATTTCCGTCCGATTGGTTTCATTAGGGAGCTTCAGCAAAGTAAAAAAAAATCCAAGCAAAACATTACTCTGCACGGACTGTACGTGCATGATGACGCACGCTTTTCGGTTGGATTTCTTTGCCGTTGCTGCACGACTGAGAAAAAAATTTCCTGATTGGAAGTCACATTTTAGTCGTGTAGAGGCGAAAATAATTCTTTACGAGATTAAACTATAGCTCTCTACACAAAAATCTCATTTTGGTTTCGAAGTTAAAATTACGCCTACAGAAAATATACAGGAATTTAGATCAGTTAGTGCTTGGAACGTTTCAGTTTGCGCACAGTTTGTATGCCGGCTTACAAAGAGTCCAAGGAGACGGACCAAGGAACCAATGGCCAGACCAGGGGCCTTCAAACGGAGCGGTCTTTACTATGATGCAGGATTTTCGGCTGGGCTCAAAAGCTGCCACCTCGTCACAGTTTAGTAAAATGTTTCGACAACTTACATGATATATTTCAGCTCACTACTCTTCTAAGATAAGAAATACTCACTTACGCCTTTTTCGTCCGGACCAAGGACTACATACTGTACAGCCATCACTGATATGATTAAAAGATGTCATTTTTTCTCCATTTTAAACTTTTGGGTCCATTTCTTGGGCACTTTATGGTACACAGCTTGTGGAAATTAGTAATGAAGATTGAAAATCCTACGCGGCGTATTTACTTTATGTTAATTGGAAAATTGGAAAATCGACGCTGTTACTTTAAGAGTCTTAACCGACGTTTCGGCAATGCCGCCTTCTTCAGGGTAGAAGAAATTAGTACTGCTTGTTATTCTAGATTGATAAAAAATGAATTGTTGAAGCTTCTTTAAATTGTCGCGCGGCCACTTTACGGATTATAAATGTGAATGTGAGTTCTACAACAAACCTTGAAAACTAGAAAGAAATCCTAAGTTCCAAGAAGAAGGATACGTTGGTTAAAACAAAACTGATAGGATCAATTTTTGCTTCCAGGAAATTATATAACAAAACGCTTGTCAGAAAAGTGCTTTGCTTCGTCAGCAGGGCCGTCTTTTTTAATACATCTTAAGCCTATATCTAGGCAGCCCCCAGAACAGATCAAAATTAAAATGAGATCTTTGTTGAATACATGAAACTCGTAGAGCGTTTGCTACCTGTAAGCTGTTTCAAACATTTTTACACAACCGTTTCTTTATTAGACGATCTATCTTAAAACTGTTTGATCTGAGATCGAATGATCTGACCGGATGACTATGAGGTCAAGTTTAATTGCACTTACTTACCCGAAATGTTTGTTGAGCCTCCGACCCTTCACCCTTTGATGCTCGTCGTGCAAGGAGGTCATCTGCACTAAAATTAGGTCCGTTCGTCGCTCCATTCTGAGCAGCCTCCTCGTCAGAACTGGAGGAGGTACAAATACTAGATGAATCAGACGTGATTGGGTTTTTCAGCAATCCTGTTTGTCCCTTGTATTCATTTAAGTTAAGCATACTCGCAGCTTTCGCTGTTTGCAAAACGCTGGACAAAATGTTTGGGTTCCTCTTCAATATATCTAGAAATTCACCGACTATGGTTTGCACGTGATCTTCCGTTTTTCGCGTTCTTTGAAAGCGGCCGCGAAAACGTAAGATTAATGGAGTAGCTTGTTATCGAAAATGAGCGCGAAGAACGAATTTCGCGCTGTTCGTTGGCGTTAACTGGATTGTTGTATATAGATGTATATGGTAAGAGGTTGTCACATTATCCAAAATAGCCAACCAAAAGTCTTACAAATTCGCGATCTTTCTAATGGGGCTACGTTCATGGTAAGGACGGTTTCGTATTATCCATCAGCAATAATGGTACCATAAAACCGCACTAAACCGTCCTCTTCGTGCAGGGTAGCCCCGAAGCTTTAAAGATGTCATATTCTGAGCAACTCAGGAGTGAGAAGGCTAGCGCAACAAAAAGAAATAGAAGCAAAGATAATTTTTGTCGGAATATAGTCAATTAAGGAATATTGTTAAGAAGCATCTGAAAGTGTTTGGCCGGTATGACGGCGATCTCGAGTTGTCTGAAGGCGGGAGCGAGGATGAACGGCTGGCGACTTACTTGGCAAATTAAGATCACAGTGGCAATGATGTCAGTCGTGAACTCTAAATATTCTAGCGAAGAATTCAGTAAAGAAGAATGCAAACGACGTTGGGTAGATTCGACAAGCGTTAGTGACTGCAGTGATAGCGAAATTGGCCAAACTGATGCGATCGATAACATGGGCAGGAGTTTGTTTGGTGACTACGTAATGACGGAACACTCGATAGAATATTAACTGCAACGCTCGGAATTCCAAGACAGTGACAGTGATTCATCCACATTTAGTAACGATTGTCAAGGTAATCTGTGGTTTGTAGTTGTGATAGCAACTGTGGGCAGCAGTTTGAAATGGATATTTATGACAGCGAAAATGCTATGCTCCTCCTTTTTGAAAATAGTGATGTCACTGTTCTTCAAGCCTAGCAAGTCATTTTATGTGGTTTAATGAGATTATCAATAATCATAATTAACTGGGAGATTTCCTGCTGTTAGCAGGTGATCGCGTTGCGCATGCGCACTCAAGCCATTACCATGCAGTTTTGCCCTCGTGGCTTGCTTCGAGTTGCCTTTGCAGCTTTTTGCCTTTTGTTTGTCTGTTTGGCTTCAATTCGCCGGATTATTCGATCGCCGAGTGCTGGGCTCCTTTTGCCTTATCTTTTTGTGTCTATTTGCCTTTATCATTTGCCATGTCGCCTCGTCGTAGGAGAAATAGTTTCGAGAGCTCATTGCCGGTTGCATCTTCTTCGTGTTCGACTTCTGCCGTCACGTCCTTGCCTACGGTTGCTTCAGCACCTGCTCTAGTGCCTGGTACTTCGGCTTCGATCGATTTCGCCAGAATATTTAGCTTCGGTTATTCAGCTCATTCAGACACCGAGTTCGGCCATCGTACAGCAGTCGTTATCTGCCGCAGTTGGCGCTCCTTCCGTTTCTATGCAAGGCCTTCCCGCCATTTCTGTTCAAGGGTTGCTGAAGTAAGCTTTGGTCAATCGCTCGGCACGTTTGGACGCCTTTGGCATGCACCACCCTTAGTCTTAAACCACAAGCGCGGCATCTCAGTCATCGACTTCTGCTGGGTCCCTGCCTCTGAATGCTTCGACCTCGTCCACTTCTCTGCCAGTGGCTTCGCAGTTAAACGCTTTGCCAGGTATGTCATCGTTTCTTTTTGTTCCACCTTTTGTCTCTGTGTTTTCCTCCGCTAGTTTGCCGTTCTCAGCACCTTGTTCGTCCACGGTTTACAGCCTACCCACTACAGTCAATTCTGCCTTTGGACTTGGGCGACTGTCGAAGAGGTCGGACGCACTGTTATGCTCTCCTATTTTAACAGCATGTAATTTCATTCTTCGCGGTACCCAAAGCCGAAAAAAAATGTCAGATGACGAAGCTGCTACCAAGGAAGACTCTGCGAGCCGAAAACGAAGAAGAAAAAGAAACAAAGGTTCAAAATCTTGCTGTGAAGAATGTTGTGAATCTTGTCACAATATGGCGGCATCAATCGCAGAGATGAAAGCAAAGCTTGACAGCGTGTTAAGCAGCATTGAAGACATCAAAGAACTAAAGCAAAAACAAACAAGCCTTGAGGAAAATAACAAGCAATTGGAAGCCAGTTTAGAATTCGCTCATACTTCTACTAAAGAGCTAAGGGAGAAGATGGCCGTACAAGATGAAGAGATCGACGAGCTTAAGAAAGGTGTGAAGTCGTTAACAAACAAGCAGCGTATGAAAAGGAAAGAGCAATTAAGCTGGAAAGTAACAGTCGCCGCAACAACTTAAATTTCTTTAGACGACGTAGATGATATTTCTTTTGAACGCGTCCACCCTACTGGAAAGTCCAGCTCTACTGAATCCAAACCGAGACCGCTCATCGCGAAATTCACGTATAATAAAGACAAAGAATTTGTTTTCAGTCAGGCCAAGAATCTCCGTGATACCAAATTTTCGGTCACGCGTGACTTTCCGAAAGAGATCGTGGACAAAAGAAAGCTTCTCGTACCAACCTTAAAAGACGCCAAGAAGAAGGGACACGCTGCAACTTTAGTTTTGATAAATTGTATATAAATGGGCAGCTGTATAGGCCATAATTCGCAACCTATATCTTTCTATCAGAGTCAGCATTGTAAGAATTAATTTTTTCTCTCATTTTTTCTGCTCGTTCCCTTTGAGTTCGCTTACGTTAGTTAGTCTTAGTCAAAAGACCAACGTGAGAGGCTTAAATAATAAGTGTAAAAGGAAGCAAGTCATATTCATCCAAATCATCTTCCTCCAGGAGGTTTATAGTTCACGAGATATAGAAAAAATGTGGTCGGCCGAATGGGGTGGTAAAGTTGTGTTTTGTCACGACACAAAAAAATAGTTGCGGTACTCTTGTCCTGTTTCACCCATCGCTCGACCTTGATGTGGAACATGTTGAGGTCGGCAAGAGGGCAGGGAAATTGTTCTGTGCTATAAAATCGATGACTACAGATTCACTGTTATCAATGTTTATGTCCCAAACGATGTCAAAACCCAAGTGGGATTTTTTGAATCTTTAAAACTGCGTATACGAAAATCCGCTGATGAAGACATTTAAATTGGTGGCGATCTAAATTGTTGCCTAGCACCCAAGGGTAAAAAGGGGTGGCGACCCACTGAACAAAAGAAACAACTAATAGATTCCATTCTTAGTCTAACGAATTCTTTCAATTTAGTTGATATGTGGAGAACATTTCATCCTAATGAATCACTTTTCACCTGGCATCACCAATCATCAGCTATTCAGTGTAGGCTTGATTATTGGCTGGTGTCAGAACATTTACTTCCACATGTAAAAGCATGCAACATCATTTCCGTTTCGTTCTCCGACCACTCGGCCGTCGTGTTTAACATCCAGTCCGATGATTTCATAAAAAAGGGGACCAGGATTTTTTGAATTCAATAACTCACTCCTAGATGATCAGTGCTTCGTCGAGGGTTTGAGCGAAAAAATTCCAGAGTACAAACAAAAATACAACTATTTAGAGGATAAAAGACTTTATTGGGACATGTTGAAAATGAAAATAAGAAGCTTTACAATTTACTATTGCAGACAAAATGCAAAGACAAAAAAAGCTGAAGAAGCAGTGCTGCAGCAAAAGCTGTCCTCACTTCACAAGCTTATGTGTGAAAACCCTACGCAAGAGACTACTGCAAACTATTACGAGATCAAAATGAAACTAGAGCAGATTTCATTGCACAAAACAGAGGGCGCAATGATTCGGAGTAAGGCTAGGTGGTGTGAACAGGGGAAACGTAGCACTCGCTATTTTTTCAATCAAAAACTAAGAGTTGAAAATCGCACTTTGACTTCCCCTGATAAAATCTTAAATGAAGAGCACAGATACTATAAAAGGCTTCACACTTCTTCTCGTACAAACCCAAATGATCCTCGTTTTGACGTGTTTTTCGACAGTTAAACCCTTCCAAAACTGTCTCCACCTCAAGCTGACAGCTGCGACGGTCTTTTAACAACAGAAGAATGTTATGTCTCACTTAAAAGTTTTTCCAAAGGCAAGTGTCCCGGTACGGATGGCTTGACTGCGGAATTTTATCTTTCCTTTTGGGAGTTATTAAGGCAAGAATTAGTTGACACCTTTAATTATGCGTTTGAGAAGACGGGATATGTCAAAGGCTGCTTTATTGGTCAAAACATACGTTTACTAGCAGACATTAGGGAACACGACGACGACTTGGTCGAAGATGACCGGAAGTGAGACACAGTGTACTGCGCAAGCGCGGCTAGCAAATTTCGTGGTCGTGGTCTCGTCGACGACGCCAAACACAGTTTAGTCACGTCGTCCTCCTTCACAAGCTTCGGCAGGTATAAATCCACTGTTTTTAAGCGATTTTTTGAAGTGTTTTTTGCATTTTTTGGGTCTTCGTAAATCCAGGTATCCTTTCTTTTTTCTCCTAACAAGCGATGCGTTGACTGAAAATTCGGCTAATGAATTGTTTTTTCTTCGAAGAATGACAACAGCTGTACATGTGGAGCCCGAAGGAGCCATTTCGTAAGTGATGAATTTATTTCATTTTGTACGTACATTTCAAGGCAAGGCAAGAGCCGCTAACGGCTCCTGGGAAAGGCAAATCATTTATCTTTAATATAGAGGAAATTAACTTTATATGGAAAAAAGCTATCGCAATGCAGCACTCAAGTGGAAATAGGTGTTTTCGTGGTGGAAAAATACACAGTGAAAACGTGATTCACAGGAGTGATATGTCAAATCCTTGATCCGATCAATTGATCCTAACACCTCTTGAAACTGAACAAATTCCTCAAAGTCTGAGGACGATTGTGCCTTTTTGTCTGTCCGAAAGCCCCTGGTCTTTGTGAACCAAAATTCCAGTAAATATATTTATAAAGCTTATTATGAATGAACACTTCAACAGCCTTTGGCACGGTTTTCTGCCACTTCTGGTAGGCTAGCTGGCAGGAGTTAAATATCATAGCGGTTGTATGCGAATCCAAATCTGCGTTGTGAATAAAAATGAGTTGTAAACTCAAGCTAAAAGGCAAAAGATTCTACCCACAAACTTTGAGGGTTTTGTGCACGCTGTAAATTAGCCCAGTCTCTTGTTTATTTTAAGCTTAAGCTTTTAGTTTCCATCCATTTCTGTGTACTTTTCACGGGAATTTTTTTTACAGTCAAATGTGTAGGAAATTTATGTCATTAAAATTAGGGATTCTAGCAGAGGTAAAAGCCCTCAATTGTTTCCAAGAAGTGCTCTTTGCCTAATAGCTTAATTATGCAATTCTATTTTGCAATACAGAATTTTCAAAAAAGTTATTCAAAGTCGGAATCTTATCCAAACGCTAGCGCAACGACTGCAATCACGAAATATACATGTATAAACTTACCTTAATCATATGATTGCTTAAATCAATGAGGGAGCAGTTGTGGAATTTTCACTTAGTTTGTCATAGAGAAAAATACGGAATTATGGACAGTCAATTCGAAGGTTGAACATCCTCCCCTGAGCATTTGACATCTTTTTCGTTTCAGGGAAGCGGGAATTTGATCACCCCACGTAGGGAGTAGGGAATTTCAACTGATTTAGTGTCGATTTAATACTTTTATGTTTTAGCACTTTCAGGAGGCAATATAAACCTTGATTAACATGACTTTTCTCTGAAGACTTAATATTGAATTCGTCTACTCTTCATGATTTTAAGCTGCATTGAAGTCTTTAATATGTCAAGTTTTTTCTTGAAAACAGAATAAACATGTGTTGCATATTTGACTTGAAACCCGCGGGGGTCGCTCGGGGGATGTTTACCCTTTGAGTTCACTTGTATATTACTAATTCACGAACATTTGCAAAAGGTTACGGTCAGTTTTCGACTGCAAATTTTCTAGTTTATTTTTAGGAATCCGAACTTAAAATGGAGTTACGATCATGACATACTTATGTGCCGGGAGGTTCTAGACATCGAGCCGTACCAGTTTAAATTACGAAGCCCCGAGAGAGGGAAAGCATGGGAAACCATTTCAATTCACTTAAATGCGACGTCGCATCCAAAGTTTAGAGTCAGCCCACGATCTGTTCGTGACAGATATAACCTTCTCACTAAAAAGTACCAAGTAAGACTGAACAGGGAAGAGAGGGCCAGTGGCATTTCTGACGATAATTCCGAGCTTGACAATCTTTTAGAGGAGATCTTAAAGAAGGAAAAAGCGGCAAAAGAGAAGCTCGACAATGACGATGAAGATAAAAGAAATCTCTTGCGAATGAAAAGGCGGAAGCTGAAGATATGCGAAAACGTGAATTAGAACGGGTTGGGCAAAAAGCTACACGAAAGAGCAAGGAAGAGGGAACGGAGGCAGAAAAGTCCAAGTCGAGAAAGAGTCGAAAGAGCACAGGTGAAGCAGTGAATATTTAAAGGAAAGAGCCTCTAAGAGATACAGCTAAGAGAACAGGAGTTGGAGATCAGAAAGAAAGAGGACGATAGTATGACACAAAGGGAGAGAGAAAAGAATGAGCAACAAGATAAGATGCTCTCTACTATGCTCACTCGAGCAACAAGAACAGCAGCAGATGATGATGATGCTTTTAAATCAGCAGCAAAAACAATCACAGGCTTTACTTTCCTTGTTCCAAAGTAAAACACAGTTATTTTTATTGTTTTCTCTTTGGATACACAGCAGATCAGTTCTCTCTTAGTCGTCCATATTTTCGACATTTTATCATTTAAAGTACTGTGTTTCGACCGTTGTTACAAATGTTATTTTAACTACTTGTTGCGTTTTCTCCATTGGCAAACTACAAGGACACGAAAACCCTTTCTCTTACGTACTGCTCAGTGCGAGATTTGGAGGCTATTTCCGTGTTCTCAGATCCCTCGCGTTTTTAGTAAGGCCAACTGCAAAGTCTTTCATCATATGATAAGTGGTCTTTGCGTAACTAAAAAATACTATTTTCACATCAAGGTCTTCGCACTTATCCTCGATTTGAAGGGAGGCTTAGGACAACTCACAAATGGCCTATCCAAATGTTATTGTTTGATGTTATTGATGTTTCTTAATTAGTAAGCTTGCAGTGATATCAATTAAAGGTAAGTTCTTCATTCAGCTGAAGTACTCCTCTAGAGTAGTTAGTTCGAGGTCAAAAACTGAGGAGGTTTGATTACCGTAAAGACAGGTAAGAGCATTTTGAAGAAGCGCAGAAACTATATACCTTTTGCCAATGCTACAAAGGCATTTTTAAGGTTTGTCACCAAATAACCATTCAACAGAGAACCTAACGGCACTCATTGAAGCATTGTATGCTTTTATCTCATCTGTAAGGACCCCATGTCGAAACGGACATTGTAGATGTACCCTTAGGGGATATGCGGGATCCTCATAAACGCAGAAGGGTTGGCCAGCGTAGGAAAAAGCAAATTATTGTAGGTGACCAAGAGATCCTGACTCTGTCAGCATGGATGCATCATGTTCTCTGCCTTCTGTAAGAAAACACGGAAAAAAATAGTAACTTTTAACTTTGGCTAACGCACCCTTTTATGTATACGGAGTTCAGTAAGCTCACCGTAAGAGAACTCTAGAGAGCGTTGAAATCTGAAAACTTTAAATTTTTTTATTTTATAGAATGCATAACTTACCTACTGCACCGTACATATTAGCAATTAAGCCATCTGGCAAAACGACCGACTGGAGCTTCAAAGCGTGCACCCACTTCTGGCCGTTGTATAAGATACGTTGGTTGTCCCCAGGGAGAGCAATTGGTCTTACGGTGCCGTCTAAAAATCCAAAGCAATTTTGCAGGGGGGCACCTCTTGATGTTATTGCTGCAGCATACATCTCCATTTGGTCGGGGTCTAGGATATCATGATTCCATCGAGTTATTCTAGGACTGTGGGCGGGGTACATAATGTCCAGCACATTCTTCGTCACCATGGCTTCGCAAACCTGGGAATCATATCCGCATATCTGCATGGGAATGACAAGCGTCTTAAGACCATGCAAAGACCCTCCAGGCCGTCACAAGTAGATCCTTGTTCACACCGTCTGGTCTCTGGAATGCCAAGAACATCTGCGAGTATGGGAATGTCTCTTTTTCGAAATCTGAACTCTGACAGACACTCGGACTCGGTCATCTCATCCAAGTTGAACGGTAAATAATATTCGTACGGAAAGGAGGGATTTTTCCATTCGAAAAGGTCACACAACACTAAAATTCTTCATCATCAATGAAATTAGACGTATGGCTCAAAAAAATAAGATTTGGCATTGTTTTAGAAGACGCCATTGCGAAAAAACTTTGTCGCGAACGAACAGTTTTGTATTTACATTCAGTGCCGTCGTCGTCCTACCGACCGACTGCATCTTAAGTTTCCTTTTTCCCGCCGAAACTGACGTTCTCGTTCCAGTGCTTTCCCGGTCAACAGACGTCGTCGTCGTGAACTTCGTCGTGGTTCTTAAGTTCCCTATTATAGAGTGCACAAAAACGCTAGATAATCCAGGTATAGCGTTGTTTTAGATTTCAGTTTCACAGTTTAGAGTGGAACTTTATTCAAAAGGCTTTAGAGACGTTTAATTTCGGCGCTCCTTTAATACAGTGGTTCATAATGGTTATGCAACGTCGTTTTTCGAATTAGAGCGCGGTGTAAGGCAAGGCTGCCCTCATTGTGATGTACTCATTGTAACTGTTGTCGAAATTTTAGCAAATTTAATAAGAAACGACAAATTGATAACGGGTATAAATTTCAAAGGCAGGGAGTATCTCAATACGCGGATGACACCTCATGCTTGGTGCGCGACGAAAAGTCAGTTGAAAAGCTTTTCAAGAAGTTAGAGGCTTTTAGAGGGTGTTGCGGATTAGAGCTGAATAGATAAAAAAACGGAGGCATTGTGGTTGGGAAAAACTAGACCACAATCGACAAACCTTTTCAACATAAACGGGCCCACGAAGTGTGTTTGTCTAGGCGTTTCTTTCTCATGAGATTCAGAAGCTTCAACAAACAGTCCGGGCCACAACCAGATCTGGATATGTGATTTCCTGCAATGTGATTGGCTCAGAGCTCAACCAAAACATTGACTTGACCGCGAAAGGACTAAGCTCGACAGAAATGTCGAACAGAGAAACTTCGAAGCAAACAGCTGTCGAGTGCTTTGGGTAGAATGTACCTTGAAGAAAAGTAACAGCAATACGGAGCCGATTAATCGAGATTATTTTATGCGTTATAGCGTTCGATTTACGAATATCGAGATGTTAATGATCGAAAACGCTTTCTGTAAACACCCGTGGATTTCTGATAATATTTCAAGAGACCAGAAACAACTCGACGACTCCGATCGAATTGGAAGAATAGGGAATTTGAATACCGCGATATATTTTAAGTGGAAAGGTTTTAAGAAGTCCTGTTTGGAGTAATTTCTGCGAGCAAAGCTTCGACCTGGAGAAGTCTATTCTATTCTACTTCGGGCGCAATACCATACGCGCTAAAATCTAATTTCGATCGAAGGATTGATAATGATAATCTTAATGCTAATTATTCTTGCTGTATATAAATTTCCAGTATATTGAATCGTCACACATGTTGGAAATATGCGAAGGTCAAAGAAATAAATAAAATTTGCAGAAATTGCACTCGCGAAGAGTCGTAAGCAGTCATTAACGAACTTCTGTCTTTGCTTGCAAAACCCTACTGCGGATGAAATAATGCAAGTGGAAGTATTCGTGTTCTAATAGCTGTTAAATAGTCACTGAGAGGACGTAAACATAATTTTACAATTGTATTTTGAAAAACAGCTTTGACAAATGAGACAGATGTGCAGACTTTACTATTGTTTGTGTCAAAATATTTAATAGAATGGTTTTTCACGAGACAAGAAAATATTATATATATTTATATCTCTATATGTTTTAAAAAAAATTGCTCCTTTAAATTATTGTTATTAAGGGGGTGCATCAGTTGAGACCACTGATGCGGTTCTAAATCTCAAAGGAAGGTGTCGCATTGGGGTGCAGGGCTAGCAGAGCATCACAGTAGTTTTTTGGCGTGAGAGATTTCATAATACGATGTGTCTACTATCTACCGTAAAACTACTATATCCTAGGTAATGGCATAGTTTTTACACTAAATCAACAAAACTCAGAAACCCAGGCATTGTTTGGGATACAAGACAGCCTTTATTAATCATAACAAAATATAACTAAAAGGTAATATTTAGTATAAAAATAACGTGCTCCAACAAATAACAAAGACCAAACTAATAAAGAATTAAAACAAGCTCAATCAAAAAATAAAAGTGATCACTCTGTACATGAATAGAACAAATAAGACCCTACAGAAAGGGAGGGAGGGAAATGATTGCTAGTGTAATAAAAGTGAATGTTGCTACTACAATGCCAAGTGAGAATGTGACTAAACTAGAATTGTATCCGTCTGTAACCCATATTACAGTCGAGGTATTCCTACATACACACTAAGCCTCTATTATTATTAGACTATGTTTGTCCTGTATCATATAGTCAAACCCCTCTTCACGGACACCAGCTTAATGTGGACTCCCTATTATTATGGGAAGTTTCCTTGGTCACTGAGGAAAACCCTTAATTTTTCTCTTTATTTAACCCACTTAATACAGACTGACCTGTTAAAGTGGATAATGGACGTTTTTTCTTCCTCAATGAACAGATTCTCATATAAAGTCAACCTCGCTAATCCGCACACTTTATAGTCCATTGTGTGCTGTAGTCAACCCCTTTTTTGTGGGGTAAAAAAACCTTTCACTTAATTGACGTCATGTCCATGTTCCCACCATCATAGTACACCAAAATGAATGAATTGTGCACAACAATAATAGACCATTTTGAAATCAATCGAGTTGGTAAATTTTACATAATTTTAGATCGATTTTCTCGAGACTTCCGTGTGTTTTCATGGACACAGTCTGCAGAATAAGAGCTTAGTGATGTTTAAAGATGTTAGGTGTGATGCTGTAGTACTTCGATAAAAAAAGTGTATTTGCGACTTTTATAACAGGACCTGCTTGATATGGACACCTCCGTTATATAGACACTTCTTATGGCCCCTTCAGTGTCCATATCAATGGGGTTTGACTGTAATTATGAAATATGGAACAGTTTTGTAAGATCGATCATTTGGTGTCCTGTTTAAAGTGTATTTTCAGCCATTCTTCACATTTTCCACCTTGCATGCCATAACCTAAGGCCAAGTAAAGCAACAAATAAATGATAAATTAAAAAATTATATGAGCAATCGAAAATACAGGCATTTTTTTTATGTACCTCAATCTGTGTACACTTATTTCATTGAAATGAAAGGGTTATCCAGGGATGACCAATGCTCTTATTTTATTGTCAGCATTGACATTTTAATTCAGTAATCGAAAATTATATAAGTGGGAAACTGGTTTGCACTGGTGCATACTGTCTCATGACAGTGATTAATCAACCATCATCATTTCACTCAAGATTTTTGTATTCAAAGCTATCGTATTGCCTCCTACAATGTGGGCTCGCCTGGGGCTATTCTTGTTGTTTTCACTTTTCTGAACTCGTGACAAGGTAGTCATTTACAAGTAGAGTTTCAAATGTAATTTTCTATTGTTTAAACTTGAAGATGCAGTTATCTTACTCGTATCACCATGTCATCAAGACCTTCGCATGTTTCTGCAACTGATTTGAGAGTTTTCACCATGTTTGAAACCCTTTTAAATTGTTCTGGTCCTTTCATCACATGTAGTCTCCAGGTGCGGGGTATCACTGCACCTCCTCCTACTTGCTCATTGCGTTTCCATTTTTGTGTCGTTGGAGGCCTCCTTGATGTCCTTGCATCTCCTGCTATTAATGTTATAGTCAAAATATAAAGAAGAAGAATCAATTCATAGCCATTGTCGTGCAAAGTAAAATAAATATCATAATAACACAAAATTTAACACCTTTTATAGGCCCAGGGTAGGATGCTCGTTGCTTACTACTTGATCAATGGTGAGGCTTGCCCTAAAAACTTAAGCCTGAACGGGGTAGTCACCTTTTTTTCTTCAGTCAAGGGACAGACCACTAGAAAAGTTATAGGAGATGGTGGGTGGAGAATTTTCAATGCATTTTTTTGTTTAATTTTCCCATGTATGAATTTTTCTAGGCCAGTGTATGAATATTTTTATTTATTTTTCCCTTGCACAATTGTTATGTACATCGCCCACCCAGCTCAATAAGTTTTCTAACTGTCCATACCAAATCTACATGTACATCTGTATTATAGTTGAAAAAAAAAAAAATAAAACAATGGTCAACAAAATGAAATAAACTGACCCTTCAATTTCAGAAATATTTCCCCTTGTCATTTCCTCGACCAATGTCCTGTTCAGAAAGTACTGGACTCTTCCGATTGGTTTGCCAATGACATCCCGGACTTGATAGCTCTTTTTCAAAGACCTGCTGTGCATGGTTTTGTTAAGCATTTCCTCGCTCAAGTCATGTGGCACTCTGCCCAAAAGTGCAAACTCATCACGTCCACCAACTTTTCTTTCGACAGTCGTTCGCGCTGCAACAGGAAGCTTAATCCCAAATTCATGGTAACTGGAGGTTAGAAATCAAAGATTTGTGTTTCTTAATACCCGACTAAAACAGGGAAATAAAAGTAAAGCACATTTCAGGCGTACCCCTTCATGAAACAGTTCGCTAATTCGACGATCATATCGTACTTCGCGACCGTGTCGAGGACGGGTTCATCGCTGTATTCCTGGATACAATATGAAGCAAAAAGACCATAAGCCTCAGAAAGAGTATTTAAACGACTGACAAAGTTGAATTACCTTCTGCAGCCATTTTGAAGTTATAACACAGCCGCAGCGTCCTGCAGATTCGCGCGAAATGTACCACCGTTGTACGTTTCTTGCATTTCATTGGTTGGAGATTTTAAGCCTTCTCATACGATTGGTCGACAGAATGTAAACACCTGAATTTTTTTTTAGATTTGTCGCCAGGTGGCTTAGATTTTTCACTTTTTACACCAGGTCAAATTCATCGTTTGTGTTCTTTGTGTACATCAACCCGTAAGTTTAATATTTTATAATGCAGCAACACCTATAGAGCAGTGGTTTTCATGCTGGTCGGACCACACTGACTGCTTTGGGTCTGTGGTACAGTAACTCTTATAGATGTAAGCTACAGGGGCGGAACAAAGATGTCAACGTCCCTTGAACAGCTGCCTGAATCAGTGCAGGAAAGCAGCCCCGATACTGAAGGTACACCAACAAAAGCGACCGAGCCTACGTACGAAAACGGGAAGAAAACAGTCCCACCAACTAAAGAGAAACATTGTTACGTAGAGGGTGCCAGTGCGCGAGCAAACACGTTGTGCAAACGAAAACGTACCTTATTCAACAAGGCAATGATGCTTCACGTGAAGACCAAGGCAGAGGTGCTAATAATCATTGACAACGGAAAACAGAGACATGTATGCGGATCTGATAGTATCATGAAAACATACGAAGACGGGAAACTGAGACCCAGCGATTCTGACAAGATGTACAAAGAAAATTTAGTTAGCTATTTGGAGGACCAAGTGTCAAACCTTGGTGTCTACCCTCTGGAGAATGCTCCTGATAAATTAGAGTTAGACTCCACCCTGGCTGGTGTTCTTGGTCACAGTACAGAATATACGGTAGCAGAGAACCCAGGCACCGAAGGGCAGCCGCGAAGTCAGAGATCTATTGACCTGCATGCCAGTTCAACTTCTGCACTTTCAGAGCCACTGAGGCAGTTACTTCTTAATAGAAGAAAACCTCAGCTGAGCCAGGAGGAGCTCTCAAATATAGACTCGATACAGTTAGCTAGCAAGATCACTTTTGTTTCAGAAGACTCCATTGAAGCAGTCACGTAGTAGGACCCTTTAATTTGATTGGAAATACTGACCTTCTCAAAGTCGTTGAAATAATGTTAAAAGATTTCACAATTGAGAGGAAAGCAAATCAAGGTTATACTATCGTATCAGTTTTGTTCAACCCCAAGATGGTGATAATATATATTGCAAAGAGGTGTAATATTCATGGACGTATTTTCTTTAAGGGACTACAAGATAACAGCAAAGACTTGAAAATTAGTACAGTATTTCAGGCTGTCATTTTTTGCATGTACATGTCATTACCAATTAATGGTAAATCATGAACACGACAAAGGGGTGCAGATATCATTCCTAAAAGGACTGGAATCTTTTGGCGCATGCCCTTTTTTTGAAAGATTTTTCTGGTAAGATTAATTAGCACTTGCTGGTAAATAATTTTACTTGCTGTGAAGGTTTGCAGTAGCTTAACTTTGGGCCAACAATACATGTTAAACACGTGCCCTAAACCCAATCTCTCCTCCCGAGACATCCTCCCCTCCCCTGCTTCCCATGCGATGGAATGGAAATTTGCTTATTAGGTGGAATATTATAAAGCTTCTGCAAATGACAGGAAAGGTAGACTGTTTTGCACTGTTACTGTTGTTTCGTTTTTCTTGTTATTTTGTAATAAAAAATAGTATGACGAGATTTGTCCCATTGAAAATCGTTAAACAAATCCCTAGTATTGGAAAGCATCCTTTCCATTTCCATTGCCATTGCCATTTTACTGGAGAACTTTTGTCCACCAATATCCCACCACGCCCCCTTCCAACATTTTAAACCTGGCTTTTCATAGCTAAACACATGGGAAGTGACTCCTTTCAATATTACACTTGGTTGATAACGAGAAAGAACAAATTAACATTATATGAGAACATTTTGCTTAAAAGTTCATAGGAGAGTGAATGTAACTATTCATTCGCCATCTTCTTCAATCTCCACACTCTGGCGAACCATTTCTAAGACATCCGCACTATTTAGCTCCTCTACAATTTCTTCATACAAGGCTAGCAAAGTGTCCTTTTTAATTCTTGCAATTTGCCTTTTGAAATCAGCCAGCTTTTTCATCAGATCAGATTTGACTTCCACATCACTCAGCAACTGAAGTTTTTCATCTGCTCGGCGTAGAATTTCTCCCTTTGTGGCATTGCCAATATATTCAGCAACTGATCTTTGCTCTGGTTGTATGCCAACTGCTTGTCTCTTGTCACCATCTATCAAGTGTTTCACTAAAAGACTCTTCCGGTTCATGCTTCAAATTCTCTGGAAGTTTCTGAGTTCATGGTCAAGTACTTTTCTTCCAAGTGACATATGCTGATGGGGGTCACAATGCATAAAATACATGGAATAATTCCATGTACAAAACAAATTTAGGTGATAAAAACTTTATTGGTGTGAAAAAATGACTTCTGGAGTTATCTTAGTATCACTATTTCTGACCCTGTCCGTAAAAATCATTTGTGCAATCAATGTTGAGAAAATCAATGCAAACCACAAATATTCTTTATACAGAACTAATTCTCTATAATGAGATTTGAATAAACATTTGGTTTAGGAAAAAATTTCAACAGGTGTTTGCTATGAGACAGGGGCTTCATACTAGTTCATCTGCTACAACGTACCGCTCTTTTCGCAACTTTATTCTCCAAGCCAGAACCTCGTCTGCAAAGTCATACTTTCGGCGTGACTCTACAGCTTCATCCTTGGGACTGGCGAAACCAATGAAAGAGAACAGCCATTTCCTAACCTTAAAAGAGAAAGAAAGTGAAAGAAGTTAATGTAATTTGTTTTGCATTCAGCATAAATGATATTAAAAGCTGCTTCACTGTATCTGACTTGAGCCTTTTGCAAGACAAATGTGTTATCTCTATTCTCATTTGACAAAATTTTAGCAGAGGAGTATACAATGAGAAAAATGGAGATGATCACCAGACAAACGAAATTTTGATGACTATTTATCACTAAATAAATTCTTCTTACCAACACAAAAAGGATCAAAATACTGTGGTACACTTTATAAATATGCAAAGACCCAATATTGACCTTCCATAATGTTTATTTGCATTACATGCTGCCATTCTTAACACATACACTACCTTTATCAACAATTTACCTGAGTAAGATTTTCCAGATTTCTGAAAATCCGCAACCAGTCCATTGCAGTCATGGTGCCATGCTGCCATGTCTTTGACTCCTTGTTTACTTCCTCTAAACAGGCATCCATGTGCTCTCCTTTGCTTGGATTACCAGATGTACTAACAGATTCTGTTCTTTCTATAAATCGCCTCAGTTCTTCAGGGTAAGATTCTCTGTTCAATCTGAAAAATATGAAATCGCTTTCTGTGTACGTTTCGTTTCTACATTTAAGTAAAGAACACTTGCATTGACCTTTCTGATTACAGGGTTTGTATAGATTTTTTTCATTCCAAAATTCAAGACAAATTTCAAAAACAGGAATTTCTTTTTCTATACTCAGGGTAATTAAATGCAAATCTTGCACATGCAGATTTGACCAAAACGGGAGAAATTCCACCCATAAAACATTTTTTGAAGAACTGAAAATAATAGTATCCATTATTCTACTTTACAGAAATTTTCCTAGGTCTGGAAAATTGGTGGGCAAATTTCAAGACTTTTTCAAGAAATCAATACTCTATAAAAAAACATGTGATTAGTTGGCTACAAATACTTTCCCCTTCTCCTCAGCCAATTAAAAAGAAGACAATGACCAATGTGACTTGGCTTCAAGCTTTCTTTACGTTAAAGGACTGACAATTAAAAGGCTGATAATACCAAACTAGGATTTTGTAAATACCTGTCATGCAAATCAATTAGAGCATATTTGGAGGCACTGCTGCGTTGAAAAATGGGTGCAAAAACCACCTGGCCTGCTTTAACATAGTTTGCATTGTTCCTTCTGACACCCATGCGGAACACTTGCAGCCCCATCAGGTAAGTCCACGTCATTTCAAACATATAGAAATATGTTGGATCTTTTTTGCCATTTTCTGGTAGCCAGTTGTAAGGGTAATCATCAACTGATACAGATAATCCTTCACTGAGCCTTTCACGAACATATGGGATGAGCATTTCTTGCCACAGGCCCAGATGAGCCACTTTCAAAACAAACATTGTTTTGTGGTGGTCTGACCCCTTTCTCACATATTTCTGAGCAGCCTCTGACACAAAGCCCAATTCACTAGCCAGATGACTCAGAAAGACATCCCAGTTCATGTCCATAAAGTGCCTTGCCATATTCATTTCCATGTGCAACTTTCCGATTCTCAACACCACCCATCCAAACTCTTGCAAGCACTTACATCTCTGTCCCTGATGAACCTCCACACAATGTTTTTCAACATTTTCCTTTAACACCTCCCCACCACACTCTGTATAAATTAGCACATTCTCAATCACTTGAATGCTGACAAGGTAAGGGAGTCCATCCATAGTTACACTTACCCACTCACGAGCATCTAGATGATACCGATTTACCTTATAACTTGTACTTATAACTACATGTGTAGTCTGCCCAGCCATCCCTGTCATAGTTCATGTACACGTTCATGTTGTGAAGTCCTGTTTATTATGTAAGTTTGAGTTTGTACAATGCAGTGCATGCTTTTTTGACCAAGCTACAGGTTTGATCTTTTTGCTTTTGTCCAACCAGAGGTTGTTGGAATGTTTTTATAGCATTTTTAGGGACAGGCATTTTATATGTTCCGGCGACATGTGTAGTCTGCCAAGCCACCCCTGCCATAGTTCATGTATAAGTTCATGTTGTGATGTCCTGTTACATTGTTTAATTTTGGGTTTCTACCATGCAGTGCATGGTTTTTTGACCAAGCTAGAGGTTTGGTATTATATAGTTTTTCCAACCAGAGGTTGTTGGAAGGTTTTCTTTATGGTACTATAAAAACAGGCATGTTATATATTTCGGATGTATGTGAAATCAGCCGTTATGCAATGTTTATCTCGACGTTGTTCTTGGTCATGATGAGATCTTCTTTCGTCATTTAGACGGAGCAAATTTGATAATTAAGCTCCTTGATTAACGTTGCTGTTGGATGTTGTTTTGTTATTCATATCATGCCTATGGGCATTCACTTTACCTGTGTCATTGGCCATTTGCTGAAATTTATAATCTAGGTTCTTTCTGGGCATAATGCTATATGTTTCTCGATCACATGTATACGGGTGTTGAGTTATTTCACGTTTCAGGATGTCTCGCCGGGTATCAGCCAAAGTGAAGAGAAAAACTACTATCTTGCAAGAGTCAGAGCAACAGCCAGCTAGTCGCCGTAGACGGGTGGAGGAGAATGAAGAACAAGCAGATCAGCTCCCAGGCCCAGCAAGTCCTCCGTATGCTGGCGTTGATGACTTGATTGAGAGGGTGACAAATGTTTCATTGCCTGGAACAGCTTCAGCTGTACAGGGGTCAGTTGTCGCTGAACCAGTCATGAATGAGTTAAGTGGTTCTCAGGTTAATACTTCTGAAATTTTAAACAATTCAGATCGGGCTAGCACAGCAGCCGCGTACAGGGGTCGATTGCAACTGTGTTGGATAGCTCGTCAGGAAGCACCAGTTTAATGTCTAAGCCAAGAGATATTTTTGTGTCATCAGACATCCCCATTGACATGTCAGTTTCTGATGGGCTAAAACGAAAAATATGCGCCCATGGATATGTCGATTTTGGATTACTCTTAAATAATAAGAAAGACCATGATAGTTTCCATCTATGCCTTTTAAATGACATGGCATCATCAAATGACCAACCACGCACCACATTGGAACCAAAGCAAAAGTCAAAACATATCAATTCAATTGAAATGTGGGTCACGGCCTACCAAATCTTTGTGGGTGTCTACACACAGAGATATCCGGTTGAAACCCCCCTTTTAATGAAGTGTAGTGAAATTGTTAGGGATTTGGCAGCAAGAGGATAAAACTGCCGATATTATGACGAGAACTTTCGAAATCTCAGACAAAAAGACCCAAAGCATATTCTTGGGGTGCAGTGCATTGAGAGTTGTGGATTAGATCGCAGCCATCCAGAATTAATTATTCACAGATAAAGAGATTTGAGGGTGAATCGAAGTCAGGCTTTCGAGCTCACAAAGGTTATTGCTGGAAGTATCATAAAGGCTTAAAATGTGTTGGAAGTAGTCTTAAGCATTCATGCCCATTATGTCAAAAGACTCATCAAATGATAAATTGCCACAATTTTCGTAACTTCACTGGAAAATCTGTTGCTGCCAATCCTACCGCTCCCAACACCAGTAAAGGTAAACCGACTTGAGTTTTTGCTAGAGGGGTACAACTTTCAAAAGGGAATGTTTTTAATTGACGGATTTAATTATGGATTTCAGTCTTTTCTGTTCGTCAAAGTCGATTCTATGAATCTCCTAATTTGTTATCTGCACAACAACAGCCCCAAGTAGTTGATCAAAAATTAGCTAAGGAGCTGGAGGGCTGGACCTTTTGATACACCAACCTTTCCTGTTTTCAGAGTATCACTCCTGGATATTGTTCCGAGGAAAATCCCACGGGAATTTCGTCTGATCCATCATCTTTCATATCCCATGGGTAAATCAGTAAATGATCGAATATCCCATGAACATTCCAGTGTTCAATATACTAATATTGAACATGCTATTAAAAAGATAAAACAGTCAGGTGTCGGTTCTTATTTGGCTAAAACCGATATTAAAAGTGCTTTCAGCATTTTACCCATTAATCCTCAAGATTATCATCTTTTAGGTATAAAGTGAGTGGTCAATATGATTATGATAAATGCATGCCTATGGTGTGCTCCAGCTCATATAAAACCTTTAAAACTTTTAGTACAGCTGTTGAGTGGATTGCACAGGATAAGCTCGGTATAGCTAACCTTATTCACTTGCTAGACGATTTTCTCCTCATTCAGACAACAGAAAGTCAGTGTTCGAGAAGTCTTGGACTCTTCTTAGAATTATGTGATTCCCATGGTACCTGAAAAAAACATTTGGCCCATCTACAATTTTGACATTTGCAGGTGTGGAACTAGACACTATCCGTTGTGAATGACGCTTACCTGAAGATGAATTATTGAAATGTGAACAATTGATTGCTGAATTTATCAAAAAGAAGAAGGCAGCATTGAGAGAGTTGCGGTCGCTTACTTTTGCTTGTTCAGTGGTTGTTCCAGGCCGTTGCTTTTTAGGACGGCTTATTGACTTGAAAATTGGCCTCAAAAGATCAGGACATTTTGTTTGTGTTTCCAAGGAGGTAAAGGCTGATTTGTTTACTTGGCAACAGTTTTTTCAAGAATACAATGATAAATCATTTTTTCTTAATGAGAAATGGGAAAATAGTGTGAGCCTACATTTATTTACTGATGCAGCAGGGGCGCACGGTTTTGGAGCTGTATTTGGTTATCACTGGTGCTATGGTGAATGGCTGAGTTTAATATTGTGGGGTGACCATATTAGGAACAGGTGTATTACATTCTTTACTGATAATGAGGCATTAGTACATGTGATAAATAAGTCTACCTGTAGGGATACTTCTTTAATGATTTTTGTTCGTAAACTTGTGCTAGTTTGTTTGAGGCACAATATTTTGTTTAAAGCCAAGCATATTTCGGGTTTTAAGAACACTCTTGCGGATGCACTGTCTCGTTTGCAGATCGAAAGTTTCAAGAAACTAGCACCAGCTTACATGGATCCCATGCCAACAGCAATCCCATCCCATCTACTCCCGGCAAACTGGCATCTATACTTCATGATCTTCTATCTGCTAGTTTACAGAAGTTGTCACGGAGTTTTTGTGTTACATTTCGTTACGCGTGGCATTTTTGGTCTTACATGTAGGCGATCACGTTTGGAGCACGTGATCATGTGACATTTTGAACTGAGTAGTTTTTTGAATGAGAATAGATTTTTGATAACCGTGCACCTTTGAAAGAATTGTAATCTTGTCGAAGACTAGTGTTCGGTTTTGAAGTCCGAATGTTTTGGCAAGTGTATCGGTTTTGAAGCCCGTTACTGTTGGAATCCTATTGGTTTCAAATAAAATCTATCATATTTGGTCCCAAGAGCCGGATTTGGAGTCAGAACTAGCTGAATTATCCCTGGAAAACTAGCGAAGAACCTGAAAATACGAGCACCGCATCGCTTACACACAAGGAAAGTTCTTGCATCAGTCGATGAACTTCTCGTGGATTATGGTGGGTCTGATACCACTAAAGACAAGATAAAACGGATAACTATTACGCTCAATGAAAATTAGCGACCTCAAAGGCCTTGGACGAATCGATTTTGGCTGCAATCGACGAAGGAAATTTAGAACTGCAGATAGAGGAATCTGAAGAGTTTCGCGCGCGAATTCAAGGCGCCCTTGTCAAGTTGCAGAAATGTGAAAATTCTCATGGCAAACAAGAATCGCCTCAAGGAAGTCAAGGTGGGTCTGTTCCATCTAGTTCTAGTAAAGGTGCGAAGCTACCAAAACTACACATAAAAAGATTTGCTGGCGACCCAAAAAACTGGCAAACATTTTGGGATTCGTTCTCGTCTGTGGTGCATAAGAACGCCTCGCTAACTAACGTTGACAAGTTGAATTATCTGCGAAGTCTATTAGATGGCCCAGCTCTAAATTTTATCACTGGATTACCATTAACCGAACTGAACTATAAGGAGGCTACTGAAATCTTAACCGATAGATTTGGAAACAAGCAGATAATTATTAGCTCTCACATGGAGGCCTTACTCAAATTACAGCCTGTGAATGCCATGACTAACGTCAGGGGAATCCGAGCTGTTCTCGATAATTTGGAAATTCAGGTTAGAGGTGTACAAGCTCTGGGAATTGATTCTGCACAGTATGGAACTCTTTTGATTCCTATATTCATAGAGAAGTTGCGGGAAGAATTGCGATTGATAGTCAGCAGGGAACATAAGGATAACTGGGAGCTAACTTCTGTAATAAAGACTGTCAAAAATGAAGTCGAGGCCCGTGAAAGGTGTGGTATGAATACATCTGTGGAGAAAAAATCCCCATTAAAGAAATCGTTTAACCCTGGTAATGAATCGTCTGCGAGTGCATTGTTGAGCGGAAAACGTGGGGAGTTAAACTGTTTGTTTCGCAAAGGAAATCACCGAGCGCCTGAGTGCCAAGTTGTCACAAATATTGATGAAAAAAGATAAATTTTGAAGAAACAAGGGAGGTGTTTCAATTGCCTGCGCCGTGGGGGGCACCTAGCCCGTAAATGTGACACCAAAATTCAGTGCTTCAAGTGCAGTGGTCGTCACCATTTGGCAGTTTGTAATAGTAGTTTGGCGGACAGCAGTAATATTCCTGCTGGGGCAACAGCCTCACCTGCACTGCATATTGGTTCTGGGATGCATGTTTTCTTACAAACTGAACAAGTAAATGTCTCAATCCCGGGGAAGGAAGTCTCTCATAGTCTCACTGTACGTGCAATTTTTGATACTGGAGCCCAACGATCGTATATCAACCAAAAGGTAGTACATGCCTTGAAATTGAAAACTATCAGGACAGAGAGACTGAAAATTGCAACATTTGGGGATCAGAACCAAGAGCTGGAAGCTGTCAGCCTGGTCGAACTTTCTTTAACCAAATCAGGAACAGACTTAAAAACGACATTGAATGCATTTGCAGTCCCTCACATTTGTAATGATTTACAAGGTCAAGATTTGGAATGGGTTAAAAAAGGATATCCCAGCTTAAGAAACATTGAATTTGCTGTGCGCCCTGCCAACAATACAATGCAGATTGATTTGTTGATTGGTTTCTCTGGATTTCTTTGATGGCAAGTCAGTAAAGGGGGAGGAGTCAGGTCAGGGTGGTCCTGTGGCTGTTTCTACAAAAGTTGCATGGGTGTTGTCGGGTCCGGTGGAAAATCTCCCGAGGGAGAAACTTTCAAGTATTCAGTTTTCGTCGACTCACGTTTTGAGAACGGAGTCAAAGGTTGTTGATGATACGCTGCAAGGGGATTTGGATAGATTGTGGGATCTGGATTCTGTCGGCATTCGAGATAAGGATACTGTTCTTGAAGCCTTTGAAAAGAATTTGAGTTTTGAAGATGGCAAGTATTTGGTCCATCTATCTTGGAAGGAGCAACATGGGCTGTTGCCAGATAATTTTGAGAACTGTGTAGCAAGATTGAGCTCGCGGCTTGAACGTCTTAGAAAGGATCCCGAGATCTTGAAAGAATATGCCTCCATCATACAATATCAGTTGCAGAGTGGTATAATTGAGCAAGTAGACTGTGCCAAGCGTCCTGATGTTGCAAGGGTGCATTATTTACCGCATCATGGGGTGGTACGCCGGGATGCCCTTACAACCAAACTTCTTGTTGTTTTTGATGCGTCGTCAAGGCCCAGCAGTGATAGTCCAAGTCTTAACGAATGTCTTTACTCAGGACCAGCCTTAACTCCAACGATCTTTGACGTTCTCCTCCGGCTTAGAGAAAAAAGAATTGCACTTGTAGGAGACATTGAAAAGGCCTTTCTAAATGTGGGAGTTGCTGAAGAAGATCGTGATGTCCTGCGATTCGTCTGGGTGGACAGTTTAGAAGAAGGGAATCCCGGATTGATGTTATATCGGTTTTGTCGTGTGGTGTTTGGAGTCAATGCTAACCCTTTTCTTTTGAATGCCACTTTGAAGTATCATATCATTCAATATGAGGCTGACCCTGGTTTGGTTCAGAACTTGTTGAATTCATTTTATGTGGATGATTTGGTGACAGGAGAAAGGGGTGTTGAGGAGTGTCTGTCGCTTTATCAGAAGTCTAAGAAGTGCCTATTGGAGAGTGGATTTAACTTGCGAAAGTGGATTTCAAATTCACCTAAATTGCTTGAACTGATTTGTGAGGACCAAGTTGGAACTGTCGGAACTTGTGCTGTAGTGGAGGATACAGAGTCTTATGCGAAAACTACTGTCATTTGGAGAAGCTTGATGTGAAGGATGAACACAAGGTACTTGGTCTTAACTGGAACTGTGTTACTGATGAGTTCATTTTTAAATTTGAAGCCTTACTGGGACTTTCAGAACACTTAGAGCCAACCAGGAGAAACTTGTTAAAGGTTACTTCAAGTTTCTTTGACCCCTTGGAGTACTCAGTCCAATACTGGTGGAAATGAAGATTTTGTTTCAGTCTCTTTGCCAGGACAAGTTTGAATGGGATGCGCCACTCCCGGAGTCTGCCCGGAAGCAGTGGAACAGGTGGCTCCAGGACTTGAGAGAGGTGCAGCAAGGTGTGTGTATGCTGGATTAGAGGAAGGTGTTACGTCGTATGTTATTCATGGGTTTGTGGACGCTTCAGAGAAGGCTTATTGTGCTGTTGTTTACTTGGTTCTTGGAGTAAGTGGTGATTTTTTTCCAGTTTTGTTGTCATCCAAAACCAGAGTGGCACCGCTAACAAGGCAGTCTATCCCTAGACTCGAATTACTGTCTCGGGTCATCTTAGCAAGATTGATGTCCTCAGTTAAAGAAGCATTGGCGTCACAGATTACAATTGATAAGACACACTTGTGGCTGGACAGCAAGACTGCAATCTGCTAGATAAAGGGTTCGAAGGAGTGGAATCAGTTCGTGCAAAATCGTGTGAACGAACTCTTGTCTTTAAACGAAGAGAGCATGTGGAACCATTGTCCCGGCATTGAGAACCCAGCAGACGTAGGATCTCGTGGAGAGGGTGCGGCTAAGTTAAAGAGTAATGTGTTGTGGTGGAACGGACCACCGTGGCTGTCGGAGCCCATGAGAAACTGGCCCATTTCTGAGGAATGTTCCGAAACAATTGCTGAGGAGTGTTGCGTAGAGATGAAAAAAGGCCAAGCTATCGAAGCAGTTGGTGAAGCAGTATTGTTATCTACAAATGGAATGCCCAATATGGACACTATTATTCCGATCGCAGATTTTAGCTCCGGTGACAAGTTGTTTCGTATTACAGCCTTGGTGATGCGCTTTGTGAAAAATTTAAAAATTAAGGCCAAGTTGCTAAAGGAAGGAACTGTTTACTTGGGAGAGGTTACTGCAGAAGAACTTGGAAATGCAGAAGTAAAGTGGCTAAAAAGTGTCCAGAAAGAATTGAAGTCCCAAGCAAATTACAGTCAGCTAGATGAGACTTTGGTTTGTACGAAGACAGTAGTGGAGTCCTAAGATGTAAGGGGAGAATTGCTAATGCTGATGTACCACATGAGACGAAGTTCCCAGCCTTACTAGCAAGGAATCATTATCTTTCAACTCTGTTGGTGAGAGATGCTCATGAAAGGGTGCATCACAATAAGGTAGAAGCTGCGCTAGCCCAGCTGAGAACCAGATTTTGGATTGTCAAGGGACGATAGTTTGTTAAAAGAACACTGGCTAGCTGTACAGTTTGTGGCAGATATGAAGGGAAGAGTTACAGAGTGCCTCCTCAAAGTGACCTACCAGAGTTTAGATTGAGCCAGAAACCTGCCTTTACTTATGTCGGAGTAGATTATGCTGGACCTTTGTACATTAAGGTGTTAGGACAGTCAGCGTTACAGAAGGTCTACGTTCTCCTGTTTACCTGCTGTTCTATGAGAGCAGTACATTTGGAGCTTGCTACGGACCTGCCAGTTGATGTATTCATCCGTTGCCTGAGCAGATTCGCAGCTAGAAGAGGTTTACCAGAACTGATTATCTCGGACAATGCCAAAACGTTTAAGGCTGCAGATAAATTTTTGAGCAAGTTATTTTCTTACCCAAGAGTCAAGAAATTCCTGGCCAGTAAAAGAATTGACTGGAGATTTAATGTGGACAGAGCGCCCTGGTGGGGTGGCTTTTTTGAGCGATTGATTCAGAATAAAAAGTGTTGTTTGCTAAGACACTTAGGAACGCTAACTTAAACTATGACGAATTGCACACTGTTCTCGTCGAGGTTGAGGGAACTCTTAACTCTAGACCTTTAACTTACGTATCGTCAGGTGATCCTGAAGAACCATTGACACCAAGTCACTTGATGTATGGAAGACGAATATAATCACTGCCGAAGGTAACAGGAAATTGATAAGCCTCACTTTACCATACAGTGTCATCGGAAGATCTCCCAAGAAGACGGAAGTACTTGGGATTGCTACTGGAACACTTCTGGAGGCGCTGGAGCAGAGAATATGTTACAGAGTTAAGAAACCTGCATCGGCAGAAATCCAGGCCTAGATCCAGTATTGCTGTATCTGAGGGAGATGTTCTTACCGTTTTCGAAGACAATCTGCCCCGTAGTCAGTGGAAACTTGGGCGAGTGGAGCAGTTGATCCATGGTGTGGAAGATCGCGTTAGAGCAGCTGTAGTCAAGGTTATCAGTAAGAGTGGTAGACCTGTTACTATGAAGAGGCCAGTTCAAAGGCTGTTTCCCCTGGAGATACCTGTCGTGAATAATGATGAAACACCTCGGGAGGAACAGATAGTTGATGGCATCAGGCCACCCAGGCGTCTTGCCGCTCGGAATGCTGATTATACAGTAATAGCCCGCGTATAAGAACCTGGGTTTTACGAACCTGTTAGGCTAAAATTTTCATTTCAAGCCCCCTCCACATAAGAAACTATTTAGGCTAAAATTTTAAGTTAGGTTCTTATCAGTGGGGTTGCTGTAAAAGTGTATAGGTAGAAACTGCTGAATTAAGATCATCATCTCTGTAAAAGTAACTTGACATAATTTTTTTTCTTTCAAGCTTAAGTACCATGTAGTATGTCTATTGTGTTTGCCATTCAAATAATTCCCCAAGTATTTGCAAGTAGTGTACTCTACTACAGTATCAAAGAAAGCTTTCTGACCACCTCCAACTCTGTGAAAATCACAAAATATTAAATGTAAAATATCAAAATATATCCCAATGAAATAAATAATTGCAAAATATCAAAACAACGAAAGCTCTCAATGGGCAATGCCTCAGCTTCTCAAGTCAATGTGAGGTCATTATTTGTTTTTGCTTGTGGCTGATAGATAGATATATGAACAATGAGCGTTTTTTTATCTTGTTGAGTTTTCTGTGATTCGCTGAATTTCACTGATGTTGATGTCATCAGCAAAGTCCTTCTTAGATAATTTCCTCTTGAGCTTTCCCAGATATGAATCATTGGCCACAAGTCTGTAGTCCACAGGGATTTCAACTCCTTTTCCTTTCCCTGCATTGAGCCTATTTCCAATGCATTCTGCCTCAAGTTCTCCAAAATCATTTAGGAACTTATGAAAGAGCCTCGATAATTCCTTTGGTACATCTCCAACCAGGTTTCCATCTTGGTTTTTGACCGCCACAGCATATTTGTCGTGAGAATTGTCGAGCTCCATTTCGCATGCCAATATTTCACCAATCCGAACAGATGCATTATCAAGATATGCATGGTAGCCTCGCACAGTAGCTTCTATATACATTTCAAACATAATCAGGTTTCCTGTCTTCAATTAAAGTTTGAAAGACAAATTTTCCTTCTGATTTCCCTCAAGATCACAATAAAGATGGCAGGCATTCAGTGGCGGTGCGTATTGACCGCTGACCAATACGTCAGTCTGGGAAAACTTTACTACAGGGACAAACCGTGGGCTCAAAACAAAGAATTTAGTTCGCGGGCTCAAGGCCGTATTTCCAAAACAAACAAACTTCGCGGGTTTCTTCAGCCACGTGTAGAGAAGAAAGTAGACATGAATCGTACGCTTTTTGACTGTGGAATCAAGAAGTCTATAGAGACAAGAAAAGGAGAAACGTTTGACATCACAAGTGTGTTACCAAAGTCTGTAAATTTACCAAAAAGGCCAGTCGAATGTGAGATTTGCAATGAATCCTTCGCGGCGAAGAAGTACCTTGGTTCACATGTACGATGGAAACATGGCGGCGATGTAAACTTCAAATCTAAACCAGTGTCTACTCCCAGCTACACTGAAAGTGAAGAGATATCTAATAGTGAGTGCACACTTGTGTTAGATGACCTGGATGTGGTGGATACGAGAAAGCACGAGGTGACAAAACCTCACAGGAGGAAAGGAAGCAGCCGCAGAAAGTCATACACAGTTGAATTCAAGGCAAAGACTCTTGAACGTCTAGACCTTTTCAGTGAACTAAAGGTTAAAAAGAAGTGGGAAAAGGTTGCAGAAGAACGAGGAGTTAGCAAGTCGCTTGTTGTAAAATGGAACAAAAATAGGAATAAGATCAAAGCCGAATCTGAGCGCAACAAGCGGAAGGAAAATTCTGGGGGTGTGAAGGCAACAAGACAAAGGAGAAAGCTTATAGGTGACAAAGCAAAGAACAGTGAGAAATATCCCTTAGCGTCAGCACGAGTCATTGTTGATTTTAAATTAAGAAGAGCAAAAGGATGTAAAGTATCAAAACTATGGCTAAAGAAAAAAATGAAATCCTACATTGAAGAATGCTGTGGAAAAGAAGAAGCTTCTAAGTTTAAAGGAAGTCAAAACTGGTTTCAGAGGTTTAAGAAACGACATGGTATTTCATTCAGGAGAAGAACAAACAAGAAAAAACAGGCAGCTGATGATGGGAGACAAACCATCCAGAAATTTCACCGTGACCTAAGGGAGGCTGTTTTAAAGTCAAGGAGAAGACGACTTCATTCAACTCAGGATGTGAAGTATGGGCCATGGACACCAAAGAACAGATATAATATAGATCAAGCTCCTCTGCCCTTTGTTGTAGATCAAGAAAAAACCTATGATGTAACAGGTAACAAGCAAGTTTGGGTTTCTCAACCCTCTTCTGGTCTTGACAAGAGGCAGGCTACACTGCAGCTGTGCATACGGGCAGACGGAGATCAACATGTAAAACCCGCAATTGTGTTCCGAGGTAAAGGAAACGTGTCAAGTGCGGAGAAAACCCAATATGATCAAGATGTTGATGTGTTCTTTCAAACTTCTGCCTGGATGGACAGCCAGTTAAACCAGGAATGGGTAAAAAGGACATTGATACCTGGGATTGGAACTTCCCCCCAAGAGAAAGTAATATTTGCTGACAATGTTGGATTTCAACAAGAGAAGGGCTTTCATGAAATGTGCAGAAAGGAGACCAATGCCATCATTTATCTGCTCCCAGAAAATCATACAGACAAAGTTCAGCCTATAGATGCTGGGTTTGGAAAACAGATGAAGGCAAAGATTGGCGAAGCAATGGAGAAACGGCTTGAGGAGGACGAGAATTTGGACATGTGGCATGACAGCTTAAGTGCGAAGCAAAGGAGGATCCTCATGACACAATGGACTGGGGAGGCATGGAGAAAGCTCTCCTCAGACAAGATGTTTGCTAAGAAACTGTTCATGAAGACTGGTTGTCTGATGACAGCTGATGGCTCGGATTATGATACCCGTACGAAACGCGCAGCGCTGTTGCAGCGCTGCAGAATGGCTTCAAGAAGCGCTGCAGAATAGCTGCAAAGAGGCTGGCTGCAGCAGTCGCAAATTTTGGCTGTTCGGGGCAGCGCTATGAAGCCGTTTGAAAGCGATAAGCAGCGGTTTAGCAGCGGTGGAAAGGACACACAAAAACGCTGTCAGCGCTGCCAAATAGCTGCAAACGTGTACAAAAATTCAAAGAATCATGGCATTTGCCTAAACCGGCTTAGTAGCAGAGTAAAAACCACTAGAAAGTCAAAATGCAGCTTATACTTTATTAGTATCCACGTGTACACGTTACAAAAGCACGTGACATAGAACAAATCTGCAACAGTCGTGCTTTGTAAATATTGAGCAATCACGGTCACTCATCTGAATGTAAGAACATCCATTAACATGCAGACATTGAAAATTATCTTTTTTAAAAATAAAGAGAATAACATCGATTGTTCTACATAAAGTTTACATGCACGGCCATTAGGCAAATGATATTTTGATTCGTTGCAACGGGCTAAGCTGGACATTGCTCACCTTGACGTTTCGTCCATGATCCACTATCTTCTACACTTTTTTTATGAAAGAAATCAACCCAATTTTACTTTGGTCGTCATTAAATTTTACAATGGACTAAGGAACGAACATTACCACGAGCGTATAAGAATCTTGCAAGTGCGAGCCCCAGCTGAGATTCTTGTATCTGTGTTGCTTGCTCTGGTTCGATTCGTCGATACTTAGCGTAGAAGTCACTGTTCAGTGCGTTGTTTGCAAATACGTTTGAGCTGTTCCATCCAAAAACTTCAACAGAACTTCCATCTCGAAACAGAACTAGATGCAAAAAACTTAGAATGTTTGCGCCTTTCATTCAACGGTCGCAAATGTTCTGTGTTTGTCTAGAGATGTAATGGGATCTCATGCAAAAGGACCGACCAATTAGATTACGGCCTAGAATGTCTCCAGGGAATTAGCGATAACATTCCCACACTCGCCGGTCACGGAATGAAATTTATTGAAATCTTTATTCCGAAAGCATAGGATTTGGAGGTTTATTCAATAAGTGGTCTTCTTTGCGCACAAGCTTACTCACATTTCTAAGAGGTACAGTCAAAGTTTTCGCGTTATAAAAGCCGTAATCTGTGCCAAGGCTTTATCTGGCCATTCATGTTATTGGCGCTCAAGAAAGTCAGATCGACCGCAGCTGAATTGTAGCGTTACTGCAGCTACTTCGCAGCGTTTGAAAGTCTGCAACTGCGCTGCAAAACCGCTGCCGAGAGCTTCAAAGAGCCTTCAAAGGCTGCACAGCGCTTTTGCATCCCGCTGCAACTTGAATGAAGCTGCTGTTTGGCTTCTAAAAGGCTGCTGAACAGCTGTAATTTAGCTGTACAGCTATTTTGCAGCGATTTTGTGGCGCTGTACAGAGCTGCAAGTTTCGTACGGGTATGATCAAACCTCAGGGGCTAGAGCTATACAGTTTTTAATTTATTTTTGTTTTTCATTTCTCCTCATTGCTTGAGCTTGTTATGAATTTGGTATCAATATGAGTTTCTTTGTTGAAACAGTAGTTATGTTTTGTTAAGGACATATGCTGTACCTGCACTGAACTGCCTATAGGCATTGCTCTATGGTACAAATAAATGATTCATGTGTCACGGAGTTTTTGTGTTACATTTCGTCACGCGTGACATTTTTGGTCTTACATGTAGGCGATCACGTTTGGAGCACGTGATCATGTGACACTTTGAACTGAGTAGTTTTTTGATTGAGAATAGATTTTTGATGACAGTGCACCTTTGAGAGAATTGGTATTTTGTCGAAGACTAGTGTTCGGTTTTGAAGTCCGAATGTTTTGGCAAGTGTGTCGGTTTTGAAGCCCGTTACTGTTGGAGTCCTATTGGGCATGGTAGCTTTATGAAAAATTTCAGATAAGTGTTTTACAGAGCTCACACATTTCTTTACCAGTGTTGCCGGCCACATTGTCATTGTTTGTTGCACAATTATTTAATCGTAGATATGCTTCCTCCACGGTAAATACTTATGTTTCTGCCCTTGGGTATTTCCATCGCTTAGCGGGTCTACGGGATCCTACCAAAACTGTTTGCATTATTGAGATGCTTAAAGCTAGGGTATGGTAAGATTGGTTACCAACTGGACTCAAGGTTGCCTATTACCCTTCCCATTTTAGTTCGCATCATGAAAGGTTTGGATATTTTTTGTGTTTCTCAATATGAATTATTTATGTTCAAGGCCGTGTATGCTGTGGCATTTTTTGCATTTCTTTGTATTGGTGAAATCACAGTGTCAAAGCGAGACAGTGTCAATAGCAACCTTTTACAACTGGATCAAATTTCTAAAAAACATAGTGAGAATGGCAATGTGGCTTCCTTGATAATTACATTCACAAGCTATAAACATAATTAAAATCAAAATCCTTTTTCTACAGTTTTAAATAGACAACCTAAAGCATGTCCTGTTCAATCATTCTTGGATTATGTTTCTGTTTGTGGCATAGTACATGGCCCACTTTTTATTAATCACGATGGGTCCCCAGTTTTAAGAAGCTAGTTAAGTAAAATGCTTGGCTCAGTTATTCAGCTATGGAACTTGGATCCCAATAGATATAAAGGACACAGCTTTAGGATTGGTGCTGCCACTTATGCGGCTGAACAAGGGGTTTACGAAGACAAGATTAGGCACTCCGTAGATGGAAATCTGATGCTTTCAAAAAGTATATCAGAATAACCTCTAGAATCAGTTCATATGTGAACGTGTTCATGTGTTAGAGGTTGTGATGTTGTTACTTGCAGGGGCGGCACAACGTTGCAACCGCACTATTGATTTGATCTGAACAGATTATGCAGGATGCAATTTTGTAATATTAAATATTATGTAATACCTTTACCCAGAATGAAATTCGTGCTTGGGTGGGTGTGCCCTTGCTTTGCAAGGTCTTTGGCGGTTGATTGCCCTCACCTTCGCCGGCAATACATGTTTAATGAAAGTTTCAGTTTGTATTTGTATTGGATTTTCACATTTTAATAAACCGGCTATGTGTAAAA